TGAGACTCACTCACTCACTCAGAGTCGGCTGAACCGATCAACCGACGGAACGGACTACGATTCCGATCAGCGGATCTTCGCTCGTTCCGAAATTGTCCCAGCTCCAAATCGTGCTATACCGAGGGGCCTAATTGAAATTCTGGACAGAAAGAGGAAAAAATTAGGACTGGGTGCCTTCACGCCGCGCGAGCCCGAAAACGCTGACGAGTCGGACCCTAGTCTCCGATGCGCAGTCCGCTGGGACGGGATCGTGCGCTCGGGGAACCTATCCGGAGCTGTCGAGTCCGAGTGAGGAATCGAGGCATCCATCGGAGTCCCGCAGAATGTGTTCACTGATAATTTCCTCGCTGCAGAGCGGAGGTAAAAGCGTGAGGCGTCGGCAACGACGGTGAGTGCGACTTTTCGCCGAGCGAGACTCTGTGAGCATCATCCACCGATCGTTCGACTCGTCACTCTTGCAGCCAGCGATTCGAGCAGCTACCGACGTACACTTCATTACGGCAACTTCATCAGGCCCATCCGACAGATCAATTTCTAAGAGCTGCCTGCGAACTGAGGAATCGCTGCTCTCATTGACATCGGGCTCTCTCACTCAGTCAGTATATCCGGGATCCTAGATCCGGTGCCCTAGTTGAGCTCCAGCTCCGCTGGAATCCCAGACAGAGAACATTTCCGAAGCTCGCGTTCGGAGCGCGGGAACGGTCACGAATGTCGATGGCGGAGTGCTCTCCACGGTTTCGCCCACATCTCCGCTTTCAAGAGAGAAATCAACACGTAGTGCCGATCGAGGCTTCCTCGGCCAGTCAACGAGCTGCGATCCAGGAAGAAACGGGCTCCTTTCTACGAGCTGTGCCATCGGAGATCCGCCTCGGGAGGAAAAGGGGAGGGAGCCCACTCCAGCACCGAAGACAAGACCCATATGAGAAATCGGCACTCATTCGAAAAGCAATCTCCCGTTCGAGTTCGGCTCCATGAGCTCTGCGTCGCCGATTCCGTTACGGCGGCGCTCATATCAGCGAGTTCTCGAGCTGGTCCCGACACACCGGTCTGAAATCTCGAAGACCCTTGCTCAGTGCATAAGGGAACGAGCGAGGTCAAATGGCTGTAACCGATCCACGAGATCCACTAATCGAATGCCGAACGCGCCACCAACGGAACGAGACAGATGCACGAGATAATGAGCTGATAGATGGGCAATCATGCGAGAGCAGCGTGATTGATGATTAGTGTTCGACTGCGAAAACTACTCCTCGGCTCGAGGTGCTCCTCGATCAAGTCCATGCCGTCGGATGACATCGGAGCGCCGATGAGGGAGCGATGCCGCTCGATTTCATTCCGGTGCTCGTCCTCCAACATGAACTTCACGTTGATATCATTCTCCTTCTAGCCCCGACACAAGCTTCCCTCGATGAGTCGAGACTTTCCTTGTCGATCGCTCGCTCGGGGCTTTGTCGCTGGCTTCGGATGGGCCGAGCAGACGGGACCGAAGAACGCCAAGCGCTGGGAGTTGAGGGGAGCGTCAAAAACACGCTCCTTGTTCCGAACACGTCTCGAAAGAGCGTGGAGCGGGCCAGTCAGCTTGCAAGTTTGTCAGTCTGCGACTATCGCCATTAGCGCACGCATGTGCATCCGCGTTCCTGAAGAGGCTCCTCGAACAGAGAGCGCCCCGGGCCGTTTGTTGTTCTCGGTCGCTCCTTCATGATATCTTTGTTCGTCATCCTAGAAGAACCTGCATAGGCTGATCCGGCGGAAATTACGCAAACGTTCTCGTTCGAAAGTTTATCCAAGGCTCATTTAGCCGAAACTGCTGACACGGCGCGGAATCGGGAAAACCGACGAAATACGAGAGGAAGAAAGCGGACGGCCATGATGATGATGAGACTCGAGAATTAGGAGGAAAAGGGGCAGAGCAGGATAACGGAAACGGGGGAGATGCCGAGGACAGGTCAGGAGGAGAGGGCGCATAGGGGCCAGAGTCCACGGAGCGAAATTTCTTCCAGGGACGACCGGAGAGGGACGAAACTATTTGAAGGAGGAACGCAGAGAATCGAGGATGAAAACAGAGCCCCGGAGGTAAGGAGTCTTGACATCGCGAATTCTTTGCGAATCTGGTTAGCTGGCGGGAGGCGGGGAGGAGAATAACGAAATATGGGGTAAGTCATGGGAGCAAGAGCTTCGGTGCGAAGGTAGTTTCCCCGAGCGGAAAACGCAAGGGGAAACGATTGGACGGCGGTGCGGCGTTCCGCGAGCGAGCGATGCCTGAGGAAAATTCCGAACTGCGAGAGAGAATCTCAGCATTCCGAGTCGCGAGCGGGAGGAAAATGGAGACAATTCGAGTTCGGGACCAAACTAGCTAGCCCTCAGAGTTTGCCGCTTCTCCTGCCGCTTCTCCTGCCGCCACCGCCGCCTCCGCTAAAAACGATGATGCTGCTGCTTTGGCTTCTGCCGGCACTGCAAGTCTCCACATCGCCTCGAGCGTGGTTTGCGTTCATCCTCCCTCTTTCCGTCGCGGGCTTTTCCTGTCTGAGCGCTGCTCCTCGTTTTCCATTTCGGTTCAGTGGTCTCCAACACTTCAGATGCAGCAATAAAACAATACGAACCCAAAGCGAGCGGAACAGATCGGAGGAGGGAGGGTCGGGAGATGAGTAACTATATTGATTGAAGAGGAAACGAAGCTCCTTTTCCAAAGTTCGTGGAGAGCGAATTCTTTCCACAGCATCCTCACACTTCTTCCAAAGCCTCTCCCGAGCCATATTCTCTCCAGAATCGCGGAAAGGCAATGTCACTCACTCAGCCGATGAAAGTCTAGGCTCCACGGTTTCCTTCGAAGAGCTTCAAGATCGCTCGCTCGGATTTCATCCGATTCTCCCGCGTAGCTGGGAGCTTAGAGTCCCCTCGCGGCGAATAGCAATCGCGACTCGTCGACAGGGGGGGGCGATGAGGGGCGATACGGCTCCTATACCGTGTTTATCGGAACTTTCGACGTGATCTCGAAGACGTGCCGATGGACAGATGAGTTATCCGACGAATAGTCATTATGCTCAACGCTGGCTGGTCGGCCGGGCGGTCGGTGTGCCTGCCAGCCCGCCGCCGGCCGACTTTCCGTCCGCCGCCTGCGCCCAGACGTCGATGGCCTATATAGTCAAGGCGCCGATTGAGCCATACCGTTCACTCGTTCGCTCGCTTTGTTTATTTGTTTGTTTGTTCGCTCTCTCGTCCGGGAAGGCTCGGCGAGGACTCACCGCGAATCCTGCCGTTCTCTAGGCCTCAGCTACCCGCGTCAACGCCGGCCTACCCGCTCACCTAGCACTTATCAATCGATTTAATAAACAAATCGTCGAGTGGTCCGCCGAAGTTCACGACGTTCTCCCCGAGACCATCGTCTCTCAAGAGAAACATTCGTCAGTCGAGGAATCGATTCTACACTGAGATGGTGTATGATTCCTCCACGTTGCTTTCACTATTCCCGCTCAGCATACAGGGATGCTCGGAACGGATCTGGCGACGTGTCGACGCGTGAGAAACGCGCCCAGGATCCACAGCAGCGTCGGAGTCCTGGGACAATTCTGGGCGTTGGTTGACTTGGATTCCGCTGGCTCTTGACGGCACACGAATGAGCGCGACTTCACTCCTCTGAGGCGATGACATCATCCCGATGAGTCTCAGCGGAATTAGATGTGGAAATCATAGAAGCGGGAAGGAAAGAATATATGGGATGCACAAATTACGTGCCGCACCTCGAGGGAGCGGGAATCGATGGAGGGAAAGCATGGCTCATGTGCATGTCATCTCTTTATCCCGGAAAGTGCCAATTCCAGGCGACGCAAGACCTTCCTCGTTCAGACGTTCCTCACCGAGGTCGTTCGCGATTCCCGGTCAGGAAGGGCAAATCGTCATGTGCAAGGAGGGTTCTCCCAAGCGTGCCGACGGACTGGCTTCTCGCACGATTTCGAAACCCTCGCTGACACTGAAGGGACGACTCTACGCAGACGATGGAAAGCGAGAGCAAAGCGAAAGCTCACATGTATGAATATGAGCGTTCAGATTCTTGTCTCCGACTCCCAGATCAACGGCGGGTTCGAGGACTCGTGTCTCGGACCTCCTGCCGCGTCTCCTCATATTCCTCGGGGTCCTCTGCGGGACACGAGATTTCGGGAATCGCCGACTGATAATTTCACTAGCGGTAGGAAAGCAAATCTGAGGATTCCGGTCGTGCATTATGTACTCGCTCGATAGGCGAATCGAGCGAGCGGAAGCCTCTCATCGGTCGCATCAATGGTTGTCAAGCCGACGGATCAATTCATGGTTGAGGGAAGGATGAAACTGCAAGAATATTCCCGCCTGGATTATCATCGATTGGAAACATTGTTTCGAGCTCCGATACATAAGATGATGGCTCCGCCGGATACCCGATCGGGAGACCGAGATATTCGGCGATGTCGATCGTTCCGCGGTGGTCATCGATAGATTCGTGGTCTCGCACAATTGAAGGAACATCACGAGACGCGTGCCGAGCGATCGGCTTGTTCTCCGGCGAGGTGACCAAGTTCGTGAATCAGAATTCGAAATCGAGCGCTGCACAGTCGTTAGCTCGCATCTCACCAGCGGAGACATTCAATTATCTTCCTCTCCATCATCATTGACTTTAGCATCCGCATTCCATCTGCCCTTTCCGTCATTGCCGATTTGATAGGTTACGCTCGTTGCAGACGCACTCCATCATTATGGGATGGGATGACATATCTCCAGGAGCGCTATATCGCTCACTGACATCAGTGCCCCTCATTTGCTCGTTTGCAGCAGCGGACGTTGCCTCTATTGCCGATGCGGTCACTGCTGTCATTGCCGTTATGTCGCGAGAACGGAATGTTATTGCGCGTCATTGTTCTCCGGACAGAATAAACACCGAAGCCGCGCTCTGAACGCACGCCGAACATACGAGTCCAGCCGGAGGGACAGAAGAACGAAACTACGAAAAAAAAACGGACGAATCACCATACCTGTTTGATGACTTCTTCATGATGGCGATGGATTTTGTGGAACACAATCCAAGGTTGGTAATGAATGGCGAAAATGAGAGTCGGAGTTCTCCTCAGCGAAGTTTGCACGCTTTGCAACTTTAGACTATATTGGCTGTCACTGCTGCCGCGGTGCTTTTTGTCGCGACGCGCCATCGCCGCCATCCAATCGAGCGGTCTCCCCGGATGACGGAGGGACCGCCACCGGGACTGGCCGAATCTGCTGCAGCCGTTGGCCTCAGAGGTCTGACAGCTCAGACGAGATGAGGAGCTGACTGTCGGACCGATCAAGCAAGCCTCGGCTCTTGCTCGCGACTAACGTGTGGACAGGCTGGCTCAGCGACGGTTTGATAGCCGTTCGATCGAATGAAGGACCGTCTGACCTCGCTGATCTCTCAGTGACTGACCGACCGACCGACCGACTGACTGACCTGCCGTCAGCTTGGGGTGGCCGACTAGCCGATTGAATGTCCGTACGCTTCCCAGTTGAACTGTAGCGGCTCGATTCGTCTCTAAGTCGTTATCCGTTTGCTCCTTCACTCGCTCCCGCGCTCGCTCACTCACTAACTCACTCACTCACCATAACCCTCACTCATTCACTGACAGACTGGAGGCAACGCGACGCTAGAGGACTCTTTACAGCTCGTTCCACCGTTGGAGTCCATTGGCGTCAATGGGGCGGGCGATAGCTTCCATGATCGTGACTGCTCTCGTTGGAGAGCGCACCGGGCAGATATCCCGCAAGCTCAGGAGGGGAGTCAGGCTTGGGGAGAACATCCGAACGTACGACAGAGGCTGAATCGGAATCAAAATCGTCGGACGGACGAATGGATGGACGGACCGAGCGAATGACGGTCAGTCGGTCAATCAGTTCTGAGAATCACTTGGCAAACGGGTCTCGAATCGAGAGGGAATCCTTGCGATCGAAAAACCCACCGCCGAGGACTAGCTGTCAAACTTCCCGGGTTAAGCTTCGACGCGGGTCTGTCAGACCGTTTCCGACGGGTTCGCGGGAAGTTGAGATTTTCCGACGGCGGACGGGTAGGTCGCCGTACGTGAGCGAATTCGCGAGGGCGAGCGGGCAACCGACGGACTCGTTGCTTGGATGTTCGTCCCGCTCAGTCAGACACTCTGGAGAAGAAGCATTTCTCATCGGAGAGAGGGAAACAACCTCCTCGATCTCCCAACTCCACAGAGCCACCGATAGCTAACCGGCCAGCTTGACAGCCTGCCTACTCTCCGAGCGAGAAGCCCACCCGCTTGTCTGCCAGCTCCTCTCCCTCCTTGCCCAACCGAAATATCCTACATCATTTTCACTCTCAGCCGTAACGTTAACATCGACTTGTCGTCAGTGAGCAAGCAGCTCACCTGGCGGCGGTGGCTGCCTTGGAAACCGCCAGTCACTTAGTCCGCGCGTGCCCGGCTCACGGCGTGACTGATGAATTCTGAGGGCGTTATATCATACTGTATCGAATTCCTCGATACCTGGTATCTGTGTGGTGAGACGTCGGATTGTTGCAGTCTAGTCCTCGGCCGACCCTCTTGTACATACATAGACGGTCAGTCAGAGACATTCCCGCACCGGACGAACGAAGCGTTTGAACGAAGGCATCTATGTAGAAGCGAGGAATTGATTTCTCCCGAGGTCCTCGCCGTACCGAGAGCCGGCTCTACGAGACATTGTCGGCCAGTCGACTCTCTGCTCTTCTGGGAGACTGAGCGAAACCCAACAGCACCCAAGAGAATCCCGCACTACTCAGGACTCTGACGCCGGAACACGAACACACGGGACGGGCTCTGTCGCCGCTATTGCTGTTTCTGCCAGAGTGTTGTCCAGATAAGGCGGCCCTCAGAGGATAGAGCTATGAGCGAAGCATGAGAACCTTCCCAGCATGACTCTGAATCGAGGGAGCCTCCGACCACCTGATGCGAGGGAATTATTCGAAGCCGGTCTGGTGCCAAGCGAGGGCTCCTCCCTCTCGAGCGCGGAATCCGAGTCGGAAATGTATCATCATGTGGGATCCCCTCCACGTTCGGAATACTCGGGATGAACTCGACTCGAGGTGAATGATCCTCCTACGCGCTGAATGCATCCGTGGGAATCAAATGAGGAATGCGAAAGGGACTCCGTCAGTCTTTTCCTCCGGAACGGGTCTTACCATAATCAACTCCCTTGCTCAAAACATCCCGTTCCCATCCCGCGGGAAGAATACTCTTCTGTTGCATCCAGGAGCAATGCCGGCCCTAGCTCCATCCCCACCGGACTCCTCGATTAGCGACGTACCACGACTCTTGGACTCTTCCGGACTCTTGGAGCTGGTCTGCGATACGTCAACTACCCTGCCCATTCGAAGTCGCCCGCACGTATATGCGATAAATCGAATGCTTAGAGGAGGCAACATTCTGCGGCACCGAACATTCTGGCTTCTCTGAAACACTCATTTTTCACCCCGTGGTGGCCCGAAAGGCCCGAAAAAAACGAAGGCTCGAGGCAGGAGGTCGTCATACCATACCTTTAGCGCGGGAGAGAAGGCAAGGAGGGGGAAGCTGCTTTCGGTCCATCGTCCGCGACAGAAGAGAGGTGCAGAGACCAATTATAAAAGTTGGACGCTATCCCTGTCGCCTCGACGCCGACCTGAGCGAACAGTTCTGCCGCTCACCGCAGAGCGCCTTCTCCGCAGGAAAACTCCACACAGGCACCGAAATGGCTTCTACTTTCCCGAGTTACTCAATTAGTGTGTAAGTTTGGCGATTTTAATTTTTCATCGTATGTCAGAAAGAAGGCCGAACTTCAACTCGGGTATCGCTGGTGACTATGTCGACGATCTCCTGATCCCATTCCTGCTTCTGATAGCTCGGGATAACGCCAAAGAGTTAGAGATTGAGAGAAAGTGCGCGGGAGAGGAATACGATCACGAGTTCAACTTTGAGATCCACTAAATAATTATCAACAATCATCGACGAGCGTATCAACGATCAACGAACAGATTCTCTCTGATTGACCAACGGGTTTACCCCTTCCAGAGACAAGCAATGTTCAGCGACATTGTTGCCGTTGTCAAGCTCCTCTTTGCAACTAATGTCGGCATCTAGTCCTTCGCGTGGATACGCGGCCGAATGGCCTGGCTCAATGTCCCCTATCTGTCGCGAGCCCCGCATCCCCCGCGGGCTGGTTTGCTCACTTGGAAGCCCGTTGGCGTGGATAAACTAGGGAATGGGCGAGCGAGCGGGCGTTCGTTCAGTGGGTTGGTCTCCCGGCCGTTCGTGCGTTATCTGCTTCGGATATTAATAGTAGTGTATAAATATACCTCTTTCTCCTCGTTCTCATTCCTATTCTCGTTTCTCTCCTCTCTGTCGTTCTCGTAGTCCTCGGCGGTCGCAAACTGCTGTGCGATGACGGCAACAGCAGGTCGCAAGTGCGTGCGGCTCTCACTGACTCGTGGCCTTCTAGCAGAACTTCCGATACGATAAGTCGCCGATGCGCGGAGGATCTCGGCTGAGGAATCGAGCATTTGTGGGAATCTCTGTCGTTCAGTGACTCCCTTCTGCGCTCAGCTGGATTCTCAGCTCGATTTCGGCACCAGTGGCGTAGCGAGGGGGAAGCAGCGACCGCCCCCCCCGCGCGAGGAATCCCGGAAACTCACGATTTCCGATTAAGCAATTCAATCATGAATTCAGTGTCGGGAACGATGAGCTCTGAGCCCCATTCTCGCGATCGGGAGCCACCTGAGCACCCGGAGCGGGGATGAATTCGCCGAGCCCGGGAGGAATTCTGCGCCCGAAATTCGGACGAATTAAAATGGGCGTTTCCATGCCACGCGCGCTCTCCTTAGAAGGGAAATACTCGCGTTCGAGACCCAAGGAGCCACCGTACGGATCTCGGAGCTGTTCCCACGAATAGCGAAGTTTACGGTCGTACGTTCGTGCTGTTTTTTTTCTAGTCTCTCCGCGAAGAGCAAGTTGCTACCGAACGGCCGAGAAGCAGTAACGCAGATTACCGCGAAGGTTAAACGCGTCGGAAAACTTTCACGACGAAGATTTCGTGCGTGCTCTAGCCCGCGGCTCTGAGGGATCCGTTCCCCTGTGATGTCGAGGGCCGGCCTGTGGGCAGAAGAAGATAAGGACGGCGATGACGACGGCAGAGATGATGATGCCAAGGACGGGGCGGCCGACATGAATGTAGATTGAGGGCGAGGATAAGGAAACGACTTGGCTTCTCATGATGATCACCTAAGGTCCTCAACAACCACGAATGTACTGCATCGCGTGACGGAGCGGTCCGCGATGCGAACGGGAACCGTTACCGCGTTCAGACAATTCAAGCGCCGAGATCGACTGTCCCTCTGGGGGGGGGGGGGCTCGATCCGGAGAATCTCTCTCCCGATCCTGAGGACTGATAATGGGTCAGATCGAGGTGGGTACTGGGCAGTGGGTGACATCGACCCGGCTCCTGGGTTCTGCCAGGGCTCGCGAGATCCAAGCGATGTTTCGAACGGGACCGCCGTTCGAGAAGCATCGCGTTAGAGGGGCAACGATTACGACCACCATAGGCAGAGCATACCTAGTTGCCTACGCAAACTCGAGTTCTCGGATGAGCTCTTCACCACGCAGCTGTTTGGCGGATCCCTCAGCGTTGGTGAATAATTGAAACCGATCGACACTATTTTTAGCAGGGAGCGGCTAAGAGAAGAGAATTCATCGGGCGATCCACTTTGAGCTGAATTCTCTTTGAGCTGCGGTCAATTACAAGCGCAAATATCATATCGGACCGAGAGAAAGAAAGAGGGAAACGAATCAAATCATCAGAACGAGAGTCGATCATTTGTCACTCGCACTGGAAACGATCGCGCAAATTGAATTTGGAAATTTGATGATTCTCCGCTGAACGCTCCCTGCGTATGGACCGCGCATTTTTCATTCCAGGGAAGTAATTGCCCTTCCAGACAGCGGGCCCGTGGATCTCGGAGGGTGAATGCGTAAATTTCAGACAGCAAGTCTCCGTTCACCACGCCCGAATTAATCTATTCCCGACATCTCCGGGAAATAATTGCCCGGAGAAGCGCGGTCCCGGGTCACGACTCTTTTCTTGGGAGACTACGACCGTGAGCTATTATTATTGGAGTACACTTCGGAGAATGGAACTCACCCATATGTGA